GGGGGGGGGGGGGGGGGGAAGCTGGAGTATGGGGGCGGCAATAACAATCACTCGCCCCGGGCGGCAAATTACCTAGTTTCGCCACTGGACTGTAGCGTTAGTTCCTTTCGAAGTCCTGCGACATGCTAGTTTTTCTCCCCCCTTTTGTATAGATCTGGTGATAGATCTTGCCATAGATCTTCTGTAAAATAGCGCTACGTCGCCCTTGCATCATCGCTGTCGACCTAAGTCAAAAGAACTTCCGAGGAACGTTCAAAAGTAAACAGTAAAACGTAAAACGAAGTAACTTAGGACCACGAGGTGCATAGTAGAAGGGTTGGCGGATCATGGTGTGGTCGCTCCAATGACCGGCGGTACCTGCTCCTCCATCAAAGGCCTACTTTCAACTCTATGAATCACCCCGCATGTGAATCGAATCGCTGGAATTCTGCTACGACCTATTCCCAATCGCCATTTACTGCCATTAGCCTAAATTGCAGAATTTGATCCATATGCACGATAGAACGTCTTGGAACGACGCAATAGGGCTTATTGGTTCCTCTGGGGACCTTTTGCGCCTGTTGTGTCAGGACTGTTTGCTGTATTTATAAGTATTTATAAGAAAGTTTAGAAAGTTGAAAAATCGGGAAAATCCCATAGGTAATGGTAACGAGCCGCTACATGCCAACAAGTAACATAAATGCTGAAACCTCCCTTGGTCGGTCTTTTAAGAATACATACAATCCTTGTACTCTTAGGACCGTTAACTGACCTAATTCTATCAATACGCATGCCTATACTGTTCCTATGGGTTTTAATCTGGAGTTCTTTTTCTTAGGTCCTCTCGAATGTGACGTCATCCAATCAAACGTGTGCGGTATCAATTACTTCAGATCAAGGGAAAACGCTGAGAGCATGATCCTGTTGAAAAACTCCATCCAGACATCAATACAAGAAGGCAATCGAAAGGAGACGTTCAACAGGATAAACAAGCGACCAGGACAAGCAAAGCGAATGTTTTGCAGTCAGTGATTGCACAAGCATGGTACGGGTTTGTTTTACATGATGTGGTAAATAAATGAACAACCTAGAAAAATAACAAATGCAACAAGTTATTTAGAAAGAAATAACACTCTGAATGAAACGAATGGACCCAGGCCTGCCTGCTCTGGACAGGGGATAATGGAATTCGTCATCGACGAATTTGCAGTTTTCGCTTTTATCTTTCAAATTCCCTGTTTGAAGGCTCTGCCTCGTTTTCATCCCTTTCCCTCGCTTGTCTCCCTTAATCGTGAGAAATCTTTTATCATTGGTGAATCGTCGATAACCGTACCACTTTTATTTGACAAGCTCGACTTCAGCGGCTTCAGAGCTTCGCATTCTGGCCGCATTTCCACCAGAATCACTCGGTTCATTCACATGTCTGGCCACAGTCCTAGCAATTTGAAGCACATAAACGTTAAATCGACATTGTATAATCGTTCGAAACGTTGGTCTAATGGAACCTTGTTTGCTGGGTGTGTACCCTAACGCGTGCACTCGCAGCACCAGTTAAAAGTTCCATGTGCATAAAGAAGCTTCTGAGAAACTAAAACTTGCTCGGGCTGGGTCACACTAAATTGGATGACAACCAGGGCCAATATTGGCGCTGCTTTCTGCTCTAAAGTCTCTTTAAATTATGAACACTGACAGGTGTCCTCAGTTCGTCATTCCCTCCAGAGACGGCGCCAGCGACAGGGTCCTCAGTTCGTCATCACCTATAGGGATGGCACTAGAAATTATCTTTTTTCTCTTAAAAATGAATTTTGCATTGGTTCTCGTCACATACCGTCTTTCTGGGAAAATTTAACTCCACTGTGTAAATTTTCACATCGGAAATGCACTACAATTCCT